TATATATATATATATATATATATATAAAATATATGAAAAATTGATGTGAGTATTCAAATGAAAGGTCTCGATGAATGTAACATCGAGATGAGCTTATATCTTTAAAAATATCTATATTTTTCAAGATACAAGGTCATTTCTCAATTATGCATCTAGAGAGAGAGAGCATTTTCGAATGCAGCATAAATACTCATTATCATAAATTGAGTATCGGTCAAAATGATATGAAACCATGAAAAGGCACAACTCCAGGTCAAGAATTTTCCAACGATACCAAATTTAACTATAAAAACCCATTTTATCATATGAATACACTGGCCACAAAATTTTGCTTATCTACTTAATAATATAGATTATTGATTAATAAATTTTTAAAAGAAAAATTCTTCATTAAAAAAATTTTAATCACTGAATATTTGAAAAAGAAAAATTCTATTTAAGTCTAAATAAATTTTAATTAAAAAATTCGTTTTTTTAATCAATAATTTTCTCTAAGATCAAGTTAATTTTTTTTTACTGTATAAAGATTTGTCGTCTGCATTTAGAAGAAAAAATTTTAATTTAAAAATTTTGGAGCATAAATTTCCATGAAATAATTAAAAATATTAGTAATTTATTTAATTTGCCAATTTTTTTATATTGAAAAAGACTGTCACAAAATCTGTCAAAGTTAATTAATCACATGATTGAAAAATTCAAGCAATATTAATTGTTTGCATCGTTGCCAAAAGCAAGTGAAGCTTTAAATACTATCATGTGCCATAATTGTACGCATGATAACTTCAACGTCAAATTAAACTCACAAAATAAGTCGCGCAAGAAACAAAAAATCCATTCTACTATTTTACACACCAGAGAGTTTATATTTTACATTTGAAAATAAAATCACAGCTATAAATAATAAATAAATATAGGAGTTTAAAATTTGGATGGACTAATCGTGTTTAGGTTATTGATACGATCACTTTAAAAGGCGTGGATTTCTAGAGAACATGACCGATGAAAAGTATAATCTGAGATATATTATACTTTAAGAAGTAATATATAATAAAGAATAAAGAGTAGAGATTTGTATTTTATTTTTTATGCGTTCGCCAGTGAAAAGTTGAGATAAATAAAGTCGTAAAAATTACTCGGCGGATTTGAGAAATTTCAATGCAGGAATAACTGGCATCGACTAATCGTGTTTACTTTTTCGATATAATCAGCCTTTAAAACGGGGCGGAGATTCTCTCGAGCGGCCAATGGAGCATTAAATATCAAATATAAAAGGTTAAATGTAAATTCGGTGTATTTTTATAAAAGTTTAACCAAGGAGAAGATGAGTTAATGTTGGCGGGTGAGTGAAAATATAAATAATTACTGTAGTAAAGATTATTTTAGAGAATTGAAATATTTCGATGCAAGAATAACTGACGTCGACAAAGTATTTTTATGTTCGGTGATAAAATCAATTTATTAAAAGAAAAAACGGGAATTTTGATGAAAGTTTAAAGAGAAATTTTTTTTTCAATTAAATTTTTAATGTTTCAATTTTAAATATAAATATTGTGGTAATTATTAAAAAATAATGAGTATTTTTAGAGCCGTATATTTATAAAAAAAATTCTATCTTTTAACGACCATTAAAACCGGGATTTTTCTTGGAAATTTATGTTCACTAGTAAGAAAAAAAATGATTCAAAAATTTATTTACTAAATTAGAGAAATATTTCTTAAAATTTATGACCAGAGAAATTTATTTGAAGTTACATTTTTTAAAAGATATTAAATAAATTTTAATTAAGTAGGTTAGTAGAATTTTATTTTTTTGGAATGTTTGGTTGAAAAAAAAAATTTTGAAGTTTTAAATACTTTTTTTTTTTTTTTAGTGAAAATTGTAGATATTTAAAAGAACGTAAAAGATGTTTCATTTTGACCGTTTTTTTTCCAAACACGAAAAAATGTGTTAGATTCGAAGAAAGACAGTTGGAGACCCTCCCACACAAATAAATTTATTTTTATATACTGCTTGTTTTTTTCAAATAAATAACCCTTTTTTCCATTCAAAATTAGTAATTTATTTCCAATAAATAATTTTAAAAATTCAATTTTGATTTCTTAATTGAAAAAAATTATAACAAATGACGATTAAATTTTTTTATTAAAAAAATTAAGACATTAATAAATAAAAAATAATTCACTTTATAATTTATAAATTACAAAGGTTCAATAAATAATTTAAAAAATTGAATTTTGATTTTTCAACTGAAAAAATTTTTTTTCTAAAAAAAAAAGTAAAGAAAGTAATAAATAAAAAAAAAATGAATAATTTTGAAATTACATGGGTTTAATAACTAATTTTAAAAATTCAATTTTTATCTCTTAATTGAAAAAAAATTATAATAAATGACAAAATTTAATTTTTTTATTAAAAAAATTAAGACACTAATAAGTAAAAAAAAAATTCGCTTTATAATTTATAAATAATTTTAAAAATTCAATTTTGATTTTTTAATTAAAAAAAAATTTTATTTTCTAAAAAAAAGTAAAGTAATAAATAAAAAATAATAATTTTGAAATTACAAGGTTTCAATAAATAATTAAAAAAATTAAATTTTTATCTCTTAATTGAAAAAAATTTATAATAAATGACAAGATTAAATTTTTTTATTAAAAAAATTAAGACACTAAAAAATATAAAAAAAAATCGCTTTATAATTTATAAATTACTGAGGTTCAATAAAGACTTTAAAAAATTTCCTAATTACAGAATATTGCCGACTAATTTTCCAGTTTCTTAAAAACTCTAAATTTATATTACTTGGTCAGTGAGACGGGCGATGGATAATTTCAGGTTTCTATAAAATTGATGATACTTTTATTTAACGATCAATAATTGACAGCTGGATGAAAAAAATAAAAAAAGGCGTTTTAAAAGACCAGACAGGGATAAAATTATTTGAAATATCGTTATTAATATTTTTGACGTTAACATTTAGCATTAAATTTGTTTTAAAAATAAATTCGATGTGTAGTTGAACGAGACTGGCTTAAGTGGTCGGCAATCGAGCACGAGTGCCGTTATTATATATATATATATATTACATATATTGTGTATGTTTATATATATAGACAGATATATCGTACATCAAAAAATATATTTCGAAATGTAGTTTCGTTGGTTCCACTCGTACATCGGTGTAGTACCGTACTGATAAAATGTAAATACCAACTGTTTGCTTTTAATCTTTATCGGTTAAAGTAATCTTAATTACCTCCAATAAAAAATTAAATTAAATAAAATAAAAAGTAAATGGGTGGAATAAATATATTACTAAATAATTCAAAGATGTGTCGACATACCTAAATAAATATAAATATATATTATATTGAATTATCTAATAAATAACTAAGCCCACTGTCTTTTAGAGTCACAATAATAGAAGCGGAATAAAGGATAAAAAATCTCGGAATAAATTTTAAGTTTCTCTATCCTCTACTCTACTCTGCTCGAATAAATATGGAAATAAATCAACTCTTTATTTTAAATTCAATTTTCATTACCTTTTTTTTTAAAGCTAGGTTAAATTAAAAATTTAAATAAACGCCTACCGAATACACAATTATAAATATGTCAATGCCCGTAATCACGTGTACCGGCGAAAAAATGAATAAATTTGTTGTATGTATATTTCCTAACTCTTAAAAATAAACGGAAGTACTTTTTTTTTTCAGACATAAATATAAATATATGGAAATATTCATCGAAAAAAAAAAAAAAAAAAAACATTTGTTTCAAAAAGTGAATTTTACTGTGACTTTTTTTCTGATGTTTATTTATGAGAGGTAAATTTATTTTATAGAATTATTTGAAGTTTTTTATCTTTTAGATACACGTTTTTTTTATTCGGGTAAGGATATATCTAAACTTTGTTAATTCTATCAAAGGTTAGGCTTATTGAAACTTTAATTAGACTTGATAATTAATCCGGATGAAAAGTTTAACAGTACTGTCGTAAGTTTTTGGTTCCACTCGTACATCGGTGTAGTACCGTACTGATAAAATGTAAATACCAACTGTTTGCTTTTAATCTTTATCGGTTAAAGTAATCTTAATTACCTCCAATAAAAAATTAAATTAAATAAAATAAAAAGTAAATGGGTGGAATAAATATATTACTAAATAATTCAAAGATGTGTCGACATACCTAAATAAATATAAATATATATTATATTGAATTATCTAATAAATAACTAAGCCCACTGTCTTTTAGAGTCACAATAATAGAAGCGGAATAAAGGATAAAAAATCTCGGAATAAATTTTAAGTTTCTCTATCCTCTACTCTACTCTGCTCGAATAAATATGGAAATAAATCAACTCTTTATTTTAAATTCAATTTTCATTACCTTTTTTTTTAAAGCTAGGTTAAATTAAAAATTTAAATAAACGCCTACCGAATACACAATTATAAATATGTCAATGCCCGTAATCACGTGTACCGGCGAAAAAATGAATAAATTTGTTGTATGTATATTTCCTAACTCTTAAAAATAAACGGAAGTACTTTTTTTTTTCAGACATAAATATAAATATATGGAAATATTCATCGAAAAAAAAAAAAAAAAAAAAAAACATTTGTTTCAAAAAGTGAATTTTACTGTGACTTTTTTTCTGATGTTTATTTATGAGAGGTAAATTTATTTTATAGAATTATTTGAAGTTTTTTATCTTTTAGATACACGTTTTTTTTATTCGGGTAAGGATATATCTAAACTTTGTTAATTCTATCAAAGGTTAGGCTTATTGAAACTTTAATTAGACTTGATAATTAATCCGGATGAAAAGTTTAACAGTACTGTCGTAAGTTTAGCCCGAATTTTAATTTAGTTGCAATAATTATTTATATATTTTATAATTTTGGCATGAAAATTAATTTAGCTTATATTTAATAATTTTTAAAATTTTATAGCAAATAAATTATGGCAAAAATTCATTAGAAAAAAAAAAAATGGCATGTAAAAATTTTTAAAAATAAAAAATGCAATTTTTTAAAAATAATTTTTTTGATAAATAAAATTAAAAAATTGTTAAGTGACTGCTAATTTTAATGTCATAATTTTGGTCGGTTCATTTTTTCCCAAATTTTGATTTACAATTTTGTTTTTCTTTGTAAAAAAACAAATTTTAAGAACAAACTTGTCAATTATTGAATTTTTTATTTTTATTAAATAATTTTCAAACACAATTTTGATCATATTTAAATTTTAGACTTATTAATTAATTAAAAATAAAAATTCAAATATTACTGACATAAATTTAGACAAGTAGAATTTAAATTAAATTCTGTACAATAATTAATTTATTTAAAAATTTTTTAGTGTTTCTATAATCAGATATAATAAAAATTGATTTATGATCACTTATAGGTCATTTATAGCTCATTTTTTCCGAACTTTAATATAAAAAAAAAATTTTTAATAAAAAAGCAAAATCTTGTGAGCATAAAATTGTCAATTATTGATTTTTTGAAGGTTTATTTAATAATTTTAAAAATATTTTTGCTAATAAAAAAATTGTTATAAGTAAATTATTTAAAAATGTCAGACTTTAAGAAATTTTCGCTTTTTTTATTACTAAAAATTTGTTATAAAAATTAAAAATAAAAAAAATAATCAATTAAAATTTTAATATTGAAAAAATAATAAATTTGTAATTACATTATTTATTTTATTAAATATTCTCAAACTTTTAACGATTAAATATTGAATTAATGTATATTAAGTGGAATATTAAATTTTATTATTTATTTACTTATGAAAATTCTTTAGGCAAAGAATGAACTGAATTTCAATATTCAATAACAGCGATAATAATAAAAAGTAGTCGCAATAACAGTAAATGTAGACATATATATGCATATTGATATTCATAGTTGTATAGTAGAGTTGGGTATACGGTTGACTATTATACTCGGTATTGAATAGGCATAAAAAGCGAAATAATAAAAAATATTTACCTGCATTACGTGCCATAGAGTAAAGAGCGTGGTCGCGGCCTTTCCGGCGTACAAGTCTGATTAAAAGAAGTGCAAGCCCGCCGCCAAAAGCGCAGGCGAGTGCGAGCCCAACATAAAGCGCCACGTCCATTCGTCGATTGGCCGCTGAAAAAAATTTTTCACTCTACATTCTGCGTTCCTATTTTCATTTATTTCCCTTCTGCATTTGCAATATACCACAAGAGTGTACAAGTACACCGTACACAAGACTCGGATAGAATATATTCGGACTTTTCCACGCTGAAGTATCGCTATCGCAAATATAAAATGTAATACGCGGGCTAATACTCTCGCTGTCCGCTGAAAAATTAATTTCTACGAATTCATAACTCACCTTTTTGCGTAGTCGTTGTCGTCGTGAATTGAACGCCACCCATTTTCGCTCTATCTACTGCAAAAAACATAAAAAAATCGAATTATTAATGCTTAAAATTTGAAGTATGCATCAAAAAATTAAAAAAAAAAATGGCTGTTAATTTTTAGTATAAAACATTTTAAATATTACAATAATAATTGTTATTAAAAATTTCATCTATTTATTTTTTGTTTTATTAAATTTTTTAGTCAATTTTTATAAATTTTTCAATTAAATAATTATTAATAAAAATAAAAAAAAAGAAATTTTCATATAAAAACTTGACTGCAATTTTTAAAAAATTTTTTTTCAGTACTAATTGATTTTTCTAAATAAAACCAAGAAATTTTCAAATATTTACTAATTTTTCTACTCTGAAAAAAGAAAAACTGAAAAATTACATTATAAATAGTAATAAGCGTCGCTTTGTATAAAAAATTAAAAAAATTGCAGTTCAATATAACATTTTTGTAAATTCAAACTTTGAATGTTAATTTTCAGAGTTTTCAATGTAATAGATAGATAGATAAAAAATTTTATTTGATTCTGGAACCTAAGCTCCCTAAGAGCCATCAGTATTCAAGATGCATCTTAAGCATGCTTTGGTTTGTATCGATTTGCATTTGTATATAAATATAATTCAGTACAAGAATACTTAATTAATTAAAGGTTTACATTTTGTATGTTACAATGTAATTTTTACAAAATCTACAATAATTACAATCTGAAATTGTAATTTTTCCTGATTTTCTTTTTTCCGTGTGTTATTAGGTTATTACTATTATTATAAAATTATTTTATAGATATTTTTCTGACGTAAGTCATTGAAAATTTTCACTTTATTGGCTATCCAGTCTGACACAACAATTTTTTCTCTAATTATTCATAATATTGTTAGTCTGTATTAGAAAATAATTGACAAGTTTTATAGAAATTTAAGGGTGACTTTTTTGGAGTTAATTAAAATTTATAAACAGAAAAAAAATTTTTTTTCGTCGGGTAGAATTTTTGGCTTTTTAAAAAAATACTTTTTTATATTTTTAAGTGGCTCACTGATTTTTAGAATTGATAATTAATATAATTTTTTGGTTTTAACAAAAAATTATTGACAATTTTTATAGAAATTTGAGTGTTTCCTTTTAAATCAAAATTTATGAACAGAAAAAAAATTTTTTTTCTTGGGGTAGAATTTTTGGCTTTTAAAAAAATAATTTTTTAACATTTTTAAATGGCTCACTGATTTTTTAGAATTAATAATTAATATAATTTTTGAATTCTAACAGAAAATAATTGACAAGTTTTATAGAAATTTAAGGGTGACTTTTTTGGAGTTAATTAAAATTTATAAACAGAAAAAAAATTTTTTTTCGTCGGGTAGAATTTTTGGCTTTTTAAAAAAATACTTTTTTATATTTTTAAGTGGCTCACTGATTTTTAGAATTGATAATTAATATAATTTTTTGGTTTTAACAAAAAATTATTGACAATTTTTATAGAAATTTGAGTGTTTCCTTTTAAATCAAAATTTATGAACAGAAAAAAAATTTTTTTTCTTGGGGTAGAATTTTTGGCTTTTAAAAAAATAATTTTTTAACATTTTTAAATGGCTCACTGATTTTTTAGAATTAATAATTAATATAATTTTTGAATTCTAACAGAAAATAATTGACAAGTTTTATAGAAATTTAAGGGTGACTTTTTTGGAGTTAATTAAAATTTATAAACAGAAAAAAAATTTTTTTTCGTCGGGTAGAATTTTTGGCTTTTTAAAAAAATACTTTTTTATATTTTTAAGTGGCTCACTGATTTTTAGAATTGATAATTAATATAATTTTTTGGTTTTAACAAAAAATTATTGACAATTTTTATAGAAATTTGAGTGTTTCCTTTTAAATCAAAATTTATGAACAGAAAAAAAATTTTTTTTCTTGGGGTAGAATTTTTGGCTTTTAAAAAAATAATTTTTTAACATTTTTAAATGGCTCACTGATTTTTTAGAATTAATAATTAATATAATTTTTGAATTCTAACAGAAAATAATTGACAAGTTTTATAGAAATTTAAGGGTGACTTTTTTGGAGTTAATTAAAATTTATAAACAGAAAAAAAATTTTTTTTCGTCGGGTAGAATTTTTGGCTTTTTAAAAAAATACTTTTTTATATTTTTAAGTGGCTCACTGATTTTTAGAATTGATAATTAATATAATTTTTTGGTTTTAACAAAAAATTATTGACAATTTTTATAGAAATTTGAGTGTTTCCTTTTAAATCAAAATTTATGAACAGAAAAAAAATTTTTTTTCTTGGGGTAGAATTTTTGGCTTTTAAAAAAATAATTTTTTAACATTTTTAAATGGCTCACTGATTTTTTAGAATTAATAATTAATATAATTTTTGAATTCTAACAGAAAATAATTGACAAGTTTTATAGAAATTTAAGGGTGACTTTTTTGGAGTTAATTAAAATTTATAAACAGAAAAAAAATTTTTTTTCGTCGGGTAGAATTTTTGGCTTTTTAAAAAAATACTTTTTTATATTTTTAAGTGGCTCACTGATTTTTAGAATTGATAATTAATATAATTTTTTGGTTTTAACAAAAAATTATTGACAATTTTTATAGAAATTTGAGTGTTTCCTTTTAAATCAAAATTTATGAACAGAAAAAAAATTTTTTTTCTTGGGGTAGAATTTTTGGCTTTTAAAAAAATAATTTTTTAACATTTTTAAATGGCTCACTGATTTTTTAGAATTAATAATTAATATAATTTTTGAATTCTAACAGAAAATAATTGACAAGTTTTATAGAAATTTAAGGGTGACTTTTTTGGAGTTAATTAAAATTTATAAACAGAAAAAAAATTTTTTTTCGTCGGGTAGAATTTTTGGCTTTTTAAAAAAATACTTTTTTATATTTTTAAGTGGCTCACTGATTTTTAGAATTGATAATTAATATAATTTTTTGGTTTTAACAAAAAATTATTGACAATTTTTATAGAAATTTGAGTGTTTCCTTTTAAATCAAAATTTATGAACAGAAAAAAAATTTTTTTTCTTGGGGTAGAATTTTTGGCTTTTAAAAAAATAATTTTTTAACATTTTTAAATGGCTCACTGATTTTTTAGAATTAATAATTAATATAATTTTTGAATTCTAACAGAAAATAATTGACAAGTTTTATAGAAATTTAAGGGTGACTTTTTTGGAGTTAATTAAAATTTATAAACAGAAAAAAAATTTTTTTTCGTCGGGTAGAATTTTTGGCTTTTTAAAAAAATACTTTTTTATATTTTTAAGTGGCTCACTGATTTTTAGAATTGATAATTAATATAATTTTTTGGTTTTAACAAAAAATTATTGACAATTTTTATAGAAATTTGAGTGTTTCCTTTTAAATCAAAATTTATGAACAGAAAAAAATAATTTTTTCTAGCTTGGGGTAAAATTATTAAATTAAAAAAAATTTTTGATTGATTATTAATTTTTTAGCTTTAATAGAAAATTCTGAATATCGTTCTAAATATTGAAGGATTTTTTTCAACCAATTAAAAATTACGGACGGAAAAAAATTTTTTAAAACTATCATTGCAGTTTTTCAAAAATTTAACATAATTTTATTCTTTTTTTTTTTATAAATAATTGTGAAAATTATCTTATTGGTCAATTTTTAAATGTTTTAAAAAATCATTAAAAAATTTTTTTTCCATTAAAACAAATTATTTATTTAAAAAATCATTAGCCCACCTTAAAATGTTCAATTCATTTTTTTATAAGCTACAAATTTTACCCCAGGGCTAAAAAAAATGTTTTTTTGTTCCACCCTAATTGTACATGTATAATAGATCTATTAATGTTACGGGCAATGGCATAGTAGTTTGGCTATTGTTTGAAACTCTATCACATTCATAATCACTACATGTGGTTTATAGTTTGAAGTTTGGAGTTTTTAGTTTGTCAAGTATAGTTCCTATACTACAGCAAAGTTTACTTTTGGGTTGAGAAGTACAATATAATATGGACTGAACTGGAGGCGGAGAAGTTTGGGCTGAATGATAATTACAAGGCGTAACAAAAATGCTCACCGGGACATGCGGCGTTGCAATCCATCTTCTGGACTGCAGGACCCAGGCAAGGCTGCCCGTCGTTTATGGGCGCCGGATTTGTGCAGGTTCGCGTCCGTTTTTGACCGCCCTTGGCACAACGTGAGTGACACTCTGACCAAGGAGACCAGGCGGACCAGCCGCCATTAACTGTGAACAAGACAGCTGATGTTAGGTATCAAGGTATAGCTATGGCTTTTTAAGTATCAGGGGAAAATTTCATTTTATGAGGCTTCATTTTCATTATTCAGTCCGTTGAGGATGCGATCATCAGGGTAATGACAGAGGAGATTTTAAAGTTATGGCCCGAGGGGTTTTTTGTGGATATTGCGCAGTTAAAAATGGATAATTTTAGGGCAAATCAATTTTAAATTTTACTGTTAGTTATTTTTAATCTACTACGCAGAAAAAAAATTCAGGAATTATATTTTAAATTGTAAGTTGAAAAAATAAAAAAAATTGAAAAAATGTCAATTTATAGAATTTTAAGAACTAGCAACCTTGCAGTCACTAATGTGACTGCCGTGACTTGTAAACTATAAATAAATAAAATTATGCTTTATTAAATAATGACTTTTGTTAAATTGCACTGTACTTTCTTGAATATTGACGATTTTAAAGATATAAGCTCATCCCGATGTTACTCTCATCGAGAGCCTTCATTTGAGTACCCACATGCATTTTGATATATTTATAATATATTTATATTTATAATATATATATAAATATATAAAATATATGAAAAATTGATGTGGGTACTCAAATGAAAGGTCTCGATGAGTGTAATATCGAAATGAGCTTATATCTTCAAAAATGTCATTAGTTGACAAGATAGCAAAGTCAGTTCTTAATTATTGACATTTTTTAAGATATAAGCTCATCCCGATGTTATACTTATCAAGAGCTTTCATTTGAGTATGCACATCAATTTTTTAGTGTAATATCGAAATGAGCTTATATCTTCAAAAATGTCATTAGTTGACAAGATAGCAAAGTCAGTTCTTAATTATTGACATTTTTTAAGATATAAGCTCATCCCGATGTTATACTTATCAAGAGCTTTCATTTGAGTACCCACATGCATTTTGATATATTTTTCATATATACATATATATATATTATATAATATATATAAATATATGAAAAATTGATGTGGGTACTCAAATGAAAGGTCTCGATGAGTGTAACATCAGGATGAGCTTATATCTTTAAAAATGTCAATAGTTCACAAAATACAAGGTCTTAATTATGTATCAAGAGACAAAGTATTTTTGAATGCAGCTTAAATATTTAAAATTAAATTTATACAAATTTTGTTTTAAAATGTTATAAAATTGTATGAAAAATTTTTATATATAAAAGTTGTCAAGATTATATTAAAATAGATATAAATAATAATAAAATTACTTGAATTTTTGTATTAGTTCGTAAAATATGAGACTTGATACTGCTAATTAGAAATTTATGATAATGTATCTGGTTTATTTGGTTTTTGGTAGTTTAAAGTTGTCAAGTTAATCATTAGGTCACCAAATATGTCACTCACATTTCTAGTTCTTTTATGTAGTCAGTTTCATGCTGAGATGGTACATGTAGGATAAGAAGAAGTAAAACGTGTTACATTTGACACTTGAGCGTTTAGTTAAGTTGGATTTCATAAAAGATTGCGGTGAATGTAAGTTTAACATGAATAGTCTGTTGAAAAATAACATTTGTATTATGTGAATCGTTTTCAACACATTAATCGCATTACTGTACTTCTTTTTCTTAAGATCGAATATGAAATAGTGCTTTAGACTCAAAATTATATGGTGCTGACGTCTGACAGCTGACAATTTTTGAAACAAAATTTTTTTTATAATAAAAAATAATTTTTTTTTAATTGTCAGCGTATTGATTTTAGTTTCATAAAATTTTGATTGTTAAAACATTGATTTTATTTTGAAATTTGCGCCAAAAAAATAAAAAATAATAATAATAGTATTTAGAAAATTTCAAAAATTTAAGTGACATTTTTTTTAATAAATAAATTTTATTTTTTTTTAATCTTTAATTTCAAAAAAATAAAAAAAAAAATTTTTGAGTTTAAAAAATTTGATAAAATAAATAAAATATTTAATAGTAAAAAATTTCCAATTATAAAACTAAAATAAAATCATCAAGCTGATACAAAGAACGTTCAATATATTTTTTTATATCCGTATTATTTGAAAAGTAAGTACCTATTGTGTGTTCTCACCAGCTGATGTGATTATCATTAAAATGAAACCTCCACCCGTGAGATTATCAGGGTAATAATAATGGTAATGTTAATAGTAGAAGTAATAGAGTTTTGGAGCAGGAAGATTAAAAAGGTTGAGTTAATAGCCAGAGGTTAAGTAAAAGCTTACGGTCATGAAAAATAATAATATTTTGATGACTTGTGTTACTATTCAAACACTTCTCACCTATTTATATATTGACTCTAGTGGGTGTACTCTACTACTATACACTAGATCCTATTATACAGAGTATCGGATGTATAGCACGTCATAGTATAAACGGAAAGTTAAACTGCAGACTGCAGATGGGTTGATTGTATATATAGATGGGAAAATATAAAATAGCTACAAAGGAAATTTAATCTTTTGAAAGTTTATTTATAATTTCCGCGGTGCTTTCTTTGCAAAACGGTTCGGTTTTATGAAAAAAAATCTTTTAAAATACTTCGAGCAGCTACTTAAAGGTTCTGGTATTTTAATGAAAAATTTATAAGTAGATTACAAAATAATAATGATAAAAAAATAATTCCCGTACATTGATAGAAGGATTTTTTAAAATTTAATTCAATAAGATTTATTAAATTATTTTTTAAGATAAATTGTTGCGATAATAATTGTTAACAATTATTAAAATATCATTTAACAATAATTAATTAATATTTACTAAAAATTTATCAATCGACTGTTGAATATAAATTATATTAACTGTTTATGATCAAATCGGTTTTTTAAGAGAAATTTAGTGTCATTGCAAAGGTCTTGACTTGAATTTGTGCCTTTTTAAGGTTTCATTTAATTCTCACTAATAGTCAATTTATTATAATAAGTATTTAGGCTGCATTCGATAATGCTCCATCTCTAGATACATAATTAAGAAATGACGTATCTCGTGAAATATTGACATTTTTAAAGATATAAGCTCATCTCGATGTTACACTTATCGAGACCTTTCATTTGAGTACCCACATCAATTTTTCATATATTTATATGTATTATATATATATGTATATATGAAAAATATATGAAAATGCATGTGGGTACTCAAATGAAAGCTCTTGATGAGTGTAACATCGGGATGAGCTTATATCTTAAAAAATGTCAATAATTAAGAACAGACTTTGCTATCTTGTCAACTAATGATATTTTTAAAGATATAAGCTCATTTTGATATTACACTCATCGAGTCCTTTCATTTGAGTACCCACATCAATTTTTTTATATATTTATATATAATACATATATGTATATATGAAAAATATATCAAAATATGCATGTGGGTACTCAAATGAAAGGTCTCGATGAGTGTAACATCAGGATGAGTTTATATCTTTAAAAATGTCAATATTTAAGAAAGTATAGTTCACAAGTCACGGCAGTCACAAAGTGACTGCAAAGTTGCTAGTATTAATATTAATTTAATTGTTAAAAAATATTTATTAAGGACTTAGAATAGAAAGTGAGTCTTAAATTTATACTTTGAATCTTTTTATCACCCTATAATTGTATAAGATAAAAAATTTTTAATTCAAGTAAAATTTTTCTATTTAATCAAATTAATTTCTTTATTAGTTGTTAATATGATAATTAACTTAGTATTCTCTTAAAAAAAAAAATTTATTAACAGTAAAAACGCAACTGCTTATTCTTAATAAGTTAATAAATTGTTTCCAAATAAATTAATTTGATGAAAATTAATTAATTAATAAATTAATTCCAATTGATCAGTCTAATTAATTATTTTTATAAACAAAAAACAATAAAAGAAATAATTAACGATTGCAAACTACTAATAAATCTAATTATAATTCTTCAAAAAAAAAAAAAAAATATTTATCACAATCAAAAAATTAATAAATAATTTTTAAATAAAAAAAAAAAAAAAAATCACTAATTAATTAGCAGCTAATAAATTCTTCTATCAGTGTATATTTTTATTATTTTTGAAATGTAGCGACTTGTTTTTATTTAAGCAGTATACTCGTGATCGTGATGGCAGGGCACGAGATGAGCAAGTTTAGTTTAGTTGTGAAGGTTGTAAAGGTTGAGAAGAAAGAGGATGAGGAAGAAAAAGAGGAGGAGGAGGAGGAGGAAGCGGAGGAAGAGGATGAGGATAAAATGTAACTAACCGTAAACAGTGATGGTCGCTGGGGCGCTGAGACGTTTTGCAGCAATGTTCTCGGCAACGCAGGTATAATTGGCCTGGTGAGTGATCTTGGCTTGACCCAAGAGAAGATGGCCCTCGCTTGAGACGAGGAGAGCCGCGTCGGCATCCGAGCCGGTCGTGATTGCCGCTCCATTCCTCAGCCAGTAGACTCGCGGAGACGGCACCCCGGTGGGTGGTATACATCTGAGCTCGGTGCTCTGCCCGGCTTCGACCGACACCGAGTACGGCGGTGACTCGAATTGCTTTTTTAGATCTGCACATGCATAAATAACACTGATAAAACAGATATAAGATACTACAGATAAACACACACATTACGGTCATTCTAGTCCCCCATTCTCCCCTTCCCTTCACTTTTTTGACTCCGCCTGCCTCTTTTCCCCCCTTTTAGAAGCTAAAAGTTATTATTTATGCCGGACTCTATTTCCCTGAAGAGGGTTGCAAATTATCTCTCGCAATTAAGGTTTGCGGTTGATGTTTTGGTCAAGCCTATATTGAAATTTTATGGTAAAATGACAATGGGTTAATTTTAGTCTCAGATTACAGACATTATTTTTGGTTTTAAATCAAAGAAAAATTTATTGAAATTTAAAACAATAATTTTTAGTTTAAATATTCAATTATTTAGAAATTTATTTTTTATTCATCATTTAAAATTTAAAATAAGGCTTTTAATTGATAACTTTGAATAATTTAACCAATTTACAATAAAATTAATTCATTTTTAGATACTTAATTGTAAAATTGTAATTAATTTTTAAATCAAAGATTTTTAATGACACTCAAGTTAGTAGACGTCTAAAAATTTTTGATTTTTTTTTTTAATTAAATTATAACTAAAAAGATATTTATAAAAAATTGCACTTATAGTTTTTTAAGTTTTTAACATGTGATATTTTTTTTTTTAATGTTTAATTGAAATTTTTTCGATAAAAAATTTTGAAATGTCAGCTAACTTCATTTTCATGATTTTTATTATGAAAAGTTTATTAAAAAGTAAAATTTTAATTTATTTTTCACGTTAAAATATTAGAACTTGATTTTTAATTGAAAATTTGAGAATTTTTATTAATTATTAATAAAAATTAATTTATTTTTAATAAAAATTTTAAAGTTACTTTCAAAATCAGACAATTTAAGTCAAAAATTTTAATCAAAAATCAGAAAATTAAAACGTTAAAATTTGATTTTTAATTAAATTGAAATTAAAGACTTTAATTGTTATTTTTAAAATTTCTGTCTACCAATTCAAGACATTTATTTTATTTTAAACAATTAATAAAAAATTAGTTCAATTTTGTGAGCATAAAAATAACAAATTATCAATTCAATTTCAATTTCCAAAATTTCAAATTTTTATAATAAAAGTTAAGAAATAAAAATTAGATTTTTACACTGAATTTTTATTAATTATTAATAAAAATTAATTTATTTTTAATAAAAATTTTAAAGTTACTTTCAAAATCAGACAATTTAAGTCAAAAATTTTAATCAAAAATCAGAAAATTAAAACGTTAAAATTTGATTTTTAATTAAATTGAAATTAAAGACTTTAATTGTTATTTTTAAAATTTCTGTCTACCAATTCAAGACATTTATTTTATTTTAAACAATTAATAAAAAATTAGTTCAATTTTGTGAGCATAAAAATAACAAATTATCAATTCAATTTCAATTTCCAAAATTTCAAATTTTTATAATAAAAGTTAAGAAATAAAAATTAGATTTTTACACTGAAAAAAAATTTTTTTCCACCTAGAATACTAAATTTTTTACTCGAGTTTTCTTGATTTAAAAAAACTGGTTTTCTCAATCTTAAAATACCATGTTTTATTATAAGGCTAGTTTTTTGACTGTCAAAAAACTTTATTCTTATAGTTAAAAAACTTTCTTATTCTAATTATAAGAATACCATTTTTTTTATCCATAAGGAAAAATTTCCTAGGTAGAAAAAAACTTTTTTTTCAGTGTAATTAAAGATTGAAATTCTTAAAATTGTACCAAAAAACTTTAATTAAAAATTAGAAATAAAAAAATAAAAACTCCGAAATCAGAAGCCGGAAAAAAATGAATTATTTATAAAAAAAAAACACCTTGCTGTATAATTTGCAACCGAGTCCTTAAACTGAAATAAAAGCAAAAAATAAAGAAATTACATACACGCAACATCGACGACAGCTGGTTGACTTTTGATGGACCCGGAGCCAGCCCAAGCGACGCACTCGCACTTGAATTTGTCTTTCCCGAAGTACTCCTCAATGTGATCCCTGGTAACATTGAGCTCAGAATCAACAATCCTGGTCCCCGTGTGGGGATCCACAAAATCGGTCTGATGAGAATCTTCGGCGCGATGCCCGTTGCAGCGAAAGTAAAGCTGGAGCGCGTGGGCGGCCTTGCAGCGGAGCGTCGCCGGTTTGTTTTTGACGACAAAGGCATCCAGGGGCTCCATTAGGAAGACGGGGAGGTGGCCCCCCGTCTCTGAGATTAGCTCGGTATCTGCAGCGGCACCGTTCCCGGCGATCCCGGTCCCCGCGCCACTGTTCGCATTCCCGTTGGCATTCGCATTCACATTGACATTCCCAATTCCGTTGGCATTGCCATTAGAATTGCCGTTGATGTTGATGTTGGGATTGGAGACGCCGCCTCCGCCTGTGATGGTCGCCAGAGGCGAGTCCTCGTCTTCGCCCAGCAAATACGAGTCATCGTTAGTCCCACCAAGAGAATCTCTGTCTCTTTCGTCCTCGTCTTCCTCCTCTTCGTCCTCCTCCTCGTCTTCATTGTCTTGATCCTCGGAATCTTCATCGGGCATCATTCCAGATGCAGTCATCGCGGCTACTACGCCTCTCCCAGCTCCGACTGCTCCGACTGCTGCATTTGACTCTGCAACTGTAGATTCTTATTCCAGTTTAACCTTTTTTTACTTTTTTTTTAAATCTTATGTTATCCTTGCACATGTATATTCCTTCTTAATTAACTCCTGCGGTTTCTACCGACTCCCGACTCACTCTCTAACTACCAACTACTAAACAACAACAACAACAACATCAACAACTCCAATATTCTGTTATGTTCTCTTCTGTCAAAACGCTGTCTTGGAATTTCATGATACTGAAATTACTAACCTCACGATTTTTCTTTTTTTTTTTTTTTTTTTGTGGCTTTGTTGTTTAAGTTAAGGGAAAAATTTTTAATTGAAATTTTAGTTTTTATTTACAAATTAATGAAATTTTTATGATAGAGCTTTTATTAATTTTAATAAATTATAAAGCAACAATATTAAATAGTGTAAAGTAAATATTATCTACAATCGGCCACGTTTGTCTTAGTTTTTAAGATGTATAAATTTAAATACTTAGACTTAAGGCATAACTTATATTCATTTAGGTTTTTTAATAAAAATTTTTTACCTAAGAAAATAAAACAATAAGTAAAACATATAAAAATTATATAAAATAATAATAAAGCAAAACTCGCGAGCAATATCTTTAATAATTAAAATTAAATAAATTGTAAAGAAAATTTTGATTTATCATATTTTAATTTACAAAATAAAAAAGAAATACACAGCAAAAAATATTGTGTTAAATACGGTCCTTACAAAATTAGTGTTAATATTTAATACACTTTATATTATTTTAACACAGTATGTTGAATTTTAACACTAATTTTGTAAAGACAGTATTTAACACAGAAATTGTGTTAATTTTACACAATATTTTTTACTGTGTATAAAAAAAATAAATTAGGAATAAAAATAACTAATTTTTGGATTTTTCACCTAACTTTTGTATTATAATAATAAGTTTGAAAGGAAAACAGTGGATTAAACAATACTAGTAGGAAATTCAAGCTCTATCATAGCTCTACTAATAAATCACTTATTTCGCGCCATTAAATAGCTTAAATGTATTATATCTTTGTCATAAATAAGGATTCTATTATCCACATTCAACTAAACGATGTTTTTATCTTAAATGATTTTTTTTTTACTGTATAAAACTTAAAGATCTATTAAAACTCTTCTTTTTGCATTTAAAAAAAATTTTTTATAATTTTTAAATTAAAAATATGGAGGTATTAAAATGATTTTTTTTTATTTAATAATAAAAACCTTTTGAAAAGTACCTAGACGTTTTTACACTTCAAAAATTTATAATGTAAATATTTGAACTAATAATTATTAAAAGAGCGATTTCAGAAATTTGTATTTATTAACAAAAATTGATTATTCTTCTACATATTTAAATAAAGATTTTTTAATAATTCCAGACGCTAAAAATAGTCAAAAATTATGTTAAATTACCCTCGATATTAATTTATTCTTTTTAAAATAATTGATTGAATTATTATTGACTAAAATTAACATATTTTAATATTTAAAACTCCAGCGTTTTGACAGAATTATTATCTATTTTTAACAAAAGAAATTTATGATAAAAAAATTAATTTTTTAAGTTTTAAATGTTCTTTTTAGTACGATCGATTTTTTTACAGAATAAAAAACCTAAAAATTAATTAAGAAAATAAATTAAAAAATTATCTAAACATTTTTTTAAATAAAAATGTTAATTATTTCTATTTAAAAAGCAATGAAAGCTATTAAAACAAAAAAAAAAAACAATCTTGAATGGATAATGATAATGAATTACAACCGAAGCACCGACAATGGCTAAGTAAACAAAGACGGCATCGATTGTTCGATTCCGGATCCGGGATTTCGGCGATTAAACATTAAACATTAATCTTTAGCGCTGGGCAGTGTACTCACCATTAACGTGGTCCAGCGTTGTCGCAAAGACTAAGGCAGCATTTAAGAGAACCAGCGGGCCTATGCAAAACATTAAAACCACGAAAAAGGAATCTCGCCTCATCTCTCCGGCCCGACCGAGCAAAAAGTGGCCGCCACGTTATCCAGCCACTAATTTCATCTCACGCATTCCTTTCCTCGACAAGAGTTGTCTTTTAGTCTTTTTACCAACGCTTTATTTCCTCGGTGATGGCTCCCTACTTTTTCCTCGCTCCCAGTACCTGAAATATATATTTACAACATGTCCATTGGCAATTCGCTAGTCTTTCTCTCTTATTATATTTCTTTTATTTTATCTACCAATCATGAGGATGTTTTTACGAGAAATATTGTTCTGGTGTTGTAGTATATTAAATTATATTTATTTTTTTTTTTGCTATTGATTTTTACTCATCAGAATGTCAAACTGTAGCTTATTATTTTTCTGCTTAGATAAATTTCGACAAAAATATATAAAGCTCAAAACTTTTTCCTAAAAACTTAGAAGATTTTTTGAAAGTATTCTTTTTCTCAGTCTAAGATTTTTTGTCCTATCAAAAAATAATTATTATAAATTATAAATAATTAAAAACATTAATAAAATTTTTATAATTATTAAGTAAATAAATAGTCAGAAATTTTAAGAATCAAAGATATTTTTTTAGACTTAAAAAAATATCTAAGCTGAAATAAAATTTTATTGACCCAAAAAAAAATTTCTTCTTGCTCCGAAACAATTTAATATTGTTTTCATATTGTAAATAATTTATCTTGGAGTTTGCATGTGTCAAAGACTGTAAATAAAATTAATTCAGCGTTATATAGTTTAAAAATAAGAAAAAACATCTATACTAAAGACATTAGGAGGTTATTAGTCTCAGCAACTATATTACCGCTTATCA